AGAAGGAAGAAGAAAGAAAGAAAGAAAGAAAGAAAGAAAGAAAGAAAGAAAGAAAGAAAGAAAGAAAGAAGAAGAAGAGGAGGAAGAAACAGAAAGAGGGCTGCTCGTTCCTGGTTCCTGGTTGGTTGCTGGCTGCTCGGGTGCTTTTGCTGCCTTCTGCCTGCCATGAGCTGTTTCCCCTCTGCAATGTCACCATGCCTTGGAGCCAGCCCACTCTGGGCTAACACCTCCACAAACTGGGAGCCGAAATGCCTCTCCTCTTTTAACTTTGAGTGTCGAGTATTTTACCTCAGCAAGGAGCAATATAATTAAGTCACTGGCCACAGTGTGGTCGCACAGCCATCCCCGTCAGATAGATTGGTCCCTGCTTGGTTTAATGAGACCCCAAGTGGTCCCTGACGTGCAGAACTCGGACAAGCTCGACCATTACAGACTGACTACCACTAGACAGAGTGTAGAGGCTGCTGCAGACCTGCAAGCCCCACCCCACCATGTAGGGGGATCCTGACCTCCTCTACCCCCCTGGGGGCCCACCCTGGCCATAACTGGGCCAGATGACCTTGTGCCTGCTTCTGGCTACTGTCACCAGTGAAATTCCAGTGAGGGTTTCAGGGTAAGGTGGTTGCCCCAGAAGGACACCCAAGAAGAAATGAAGTCTGTTTTCCAGGGGAATTTACTCTTTGGGATGGGACCCAAGCAAATTCTGTAGGTCTTGATAAAACAGAGCCGAGTGTGGTGGTGCACACCTGCAATCTCAGCCCTCATAGCTCAGTGGCTTTTCTCTCATTGCTGGGACAAAATACCCAACACCCAAAATTAAGGAAGAAAAGCTTTATTTAGCTCCCAGTTAGTGGTGGTTTCAGTCCATACTCAGCTGGCTCTGAGGCAGAGCGGCACATGGCAGAGGTCAGCAGTTCATGGTGGCAGAAGGCAGCAAAGAGCAAACTGCGGCAGCTAGCAAGTCTCTCTCCCTCCCTTATATTGTATTCAGGCTATCTGTCTCAGGGCAGCTGTAGCACTCACACCTGTAATCCCAGCACTGGATCATGAATTAATCACAACCTCTAGAAGTCTACCCCATGACTGCATGAGGCTTTGGGGGGACAACTAGACACAAGCCATAACACCTTGGAATGATGAAGCAGGACGACTTGAGGTTTGAGCCTGGCCTGGGCCACACAGTAATTTAGGAAGACCTCATCTCAAAATTTTGAAATATATGTTTTTGTTTTCTAAATGTAGGCTCAGTGCAAAGGCCCTGGGTTTGACTTTCAGTACTGCCAATAATAACAATAAGAAGAAGAAGAAGAGCTTTTCCGGAGCTCCTTCACCTGCCATGGCCTCAGGCTGGGGCGCCTCCTCGTCACCCTGCCCCTGAGGGTCTCAGGACACAGGCAAACTCAGTGTGGGAAAAGCAAGCACAGCTGCAGGCTGGGCAGTGCTGACCCCAATTGCTGGTGCCTGGTGTGTTGGTGGCAGTGACAAGGTTGTGGCATCTTCTGCTCTCAGGTTCATGGGGCAGCAACTACAGCTTAGCAGGCAGCTCTGTGACCCCAGGAGAAAGTCCCCTTTGCAGGGGAGCTGTGGCCCTAAGACTGCCAGGCTCTTCTGGTTTCAGTCACCAGGGTCCTTGTGGCCAAACCCAGGCTGGGACCCTGTCACAATGCCTCAGCCCAAAAGGCTCCAGGAAAACCGCCTGCCTGCATCCCCAGCATGGAGAAGCCGCAGCTCACACACAGTGGTATCCGGTATCCAGGGACCTGAACAACCTCTCCCTTCTTGGGCCTGGCTTCCTGTCTCTGGCACCGAAAGACCCTCCTCCTGACCCCTACTCTCAGGGCCTCCAATCTGTCTCTCCTTGTACCTCTGTCCCATCCAAAATGTCCCAAAACATTCCAGAACCAGAAGGCTTCCAGAGGAGGACCTGCTTCCAGGCTGCCCTCGGGTCACTCTGGAAGGGACCAGGAGGGGCAGGCTGTGAATGTGAGTCTCTGCACGCATCTGATCATTTGTGTCATCTTAGCACTGAGGTCAGAGCTGGGTGGGGACTGCGAGGGCTTTGAGGAGGCAGCCACTATGGCAGCCACATATCCATTATGGGGGTCACAGACACCTTCTCCATGGCCCTATGAGGGTATGGGGTGACCACCCCTAGGCAAAGAACTGAGGCAGGACATGCATGTCAGGCCAGAATCTGTACTGTAGGGCCTTGTATCTGATAGTTTCAGCTGGAGAAGCCATGTGTTTTGATGGCTTTTGTGGAGCGAGCTCTGTGTGTTCCCTTCAAAGAAGGGCAGTGTGGCTTTCAAAGACAGTGGCAGGTTCTAGTGCAGCCTGTTGATGTCCATGAGACAGCTGAGCATTGAGCTGACACACAAAAGAAGGCTGAGTGAAGAGCAAGGCCGGGAAATTAGGCTGAGCCTTGATCGAACCATAACTGATTTTGGCTGCTCCACAGTGTATGCTAGCAAACTCCTTGTGTACACCACTTGAAACTGGATTTTTCTCTCCCATGAATCCCAAACTGTCTAATTGGAAAGAGAATTTGATTCTTGGAAGGGGATGCTGCATGAACAAGATGCTAATGTGGATGTAACAAGGACACCTTTCCTCGGACAAGGAAGAGGTGACACTTGCTCAGCACCGTGGCCCATGATGCTGGACACAGGCCTTGTGCTGAGGAGCCTGCGATGTGTGGCCCTCTGGCAAGAGACATGTGGGACATCGGCTATGCTGGCAGTCTTCCCCATGGTCCTAGGAGACTCACTTTTGGGGCTGGCTGGCTCATTGGAGGTAGAGAGTGATAAAGATTTGGCATTGCTCACAGAGGACTGAATGCCCAGGCCTTCTATGTAGAGTGACTGGCCACCAATCCTGTGGTCTCAGAAAAGTGACACCCCTGGCTGACGTTAGGGTCAGGTAGGTGACTGTGGGTCACTTAGCTTAGAAGATCTGGAGCTCTGCTGAGAGCCATGGACAAATAGATCCAAGATGCTGAGTGGCCCAGGCAGTAGCCCCATGTGGCCTGTGCTCGCCCCTCTCAGCAGCCCTGCACGTGTCCCCATTGGAACAGGGAGCTGGCACAATGGCTGTGGTGGGATTGATCTCATGCTGCCCACTTAGGAAACACCCCCAAGCAGGGCCAGGGTCAGCCAAGTCTCTACCCAGCAGGACATTGTATCCCATGAGCAGTCTGACCTTGAATCTAAGTATGCATAGGAAGAGCACAGGAACTTCGGTGACCTCATGAACCACACCCCCCATGGCCCCAGCTGAAGTCCTGCCACAGCAGTTGGAACACCCATGAGCAGAGAGTATGACAAATGCTCAAATGAAAGTGAGACAAGTTGGGGAGCTGGGGTGAGGCAGGTCCCTTAGCTGTCAAACACTGTGTGGGCCTCTGGGGTGGGACAGGCCCCAGCAGTTCTTAGCATCAAGCTTGAGACGCTGCGGCTCATTTGACTCATCTGAGGCCCTGCAGACAGTACTCTGTCCACATGCAAGGGTCCAAGCATCAGCTGGGACAGAACCTGTACTCACATGTCCCCTGCTCACTCAAGATGATGGATGGAATCTGTCCTTGCTGTCCCCAGCCCCTCAGGACATGGAGGAACCCCTGGGGCCACACATACTATGAGTGCAAGTCACCTCCCAACCCTTCGCCCTGCCCCTGCCATTGCAGGACATGGAGCCTGTGTCTCCCAGGCTGAGAGCCTTCCTTTCGGAGCCCATGGGAGAAAAGGACGTCTGCTGGGTAGACGGCATCAGCCAGGAGCTGGCCATCAATCTGGTCACCAAAGGCTTCAGCAAGGTAATTCAGCTTTTCCTCCCCACTCCTCTTCCCAATCTCTCCATGTCAGTTCCTACCACATGGCAGCCCGCCATGCAACCCCATGAGGGGACTCCAGAGAGCAAAGCTGCCACTTGGCAGTGTGCCCCGTGCTGCAGGGCTACTGACCTGAGAGCTGGAGCTCACACACACCTGGGTGTGTGGCCCACAGGTGTGGGGTGTGAAGGGCTGGCCAGATGGAAGTGCACCCGGTACCAGGTGATGTGGACATGGTCCCCACCCTGGAGCAGCCAGGAGCCACATCAGGGCCTGGAATGTGAGTTATCAGAAGGCATCACTTCCAGCTCAAGAGGGGCCTCGAGGTGTCCAAGGTGTTCTGTCTTCCATAGCTACCCAAGATCCACGAGCCTGGGTGTTTCATAAAGAGAATCACAGGAATGGGTGACCCTGTAAGTCAGGCCTCCAGGAGGTCTCTGCTGCTGTGTCACAGTGCAGTGGGTGACATCATGGTGGGCACAAGTATGAGAAAGAGAAGAGACAGACAAGACAGGAAGCCAGAGGGCGAGGAGGGACTGGCACTGCCACTTGTTTATTTAGGTGCTGGGGATGGGGCACATGGACTAATCCTCATCCACCAACGTCCCTGGGTTGAGAAGTGCCCAGCAGACTGACACAGCACACTTCCGGGTGTGTCTGGTGGTCCTGGAGTGCTAGGGTGGGTCTGTGTCCACCGCCTGCCCTTCCTCGGTGGCACTGGTCCACCTCGTGCTTCCTGGCTCCCACGAGCTGACAGGCTGTGCTCTGCCACACCCTTCTGCCCACTGCGCCAGCCACTGTGGACAGAGTCCCCAGCTCAGAGCCAAATGACACCTCTCCTCCTTGAAGAGGTGGGTGCTGGGCAACAGGAAAGCAGCCTGATGCCCACACTGAGTGCGGGCTCCCCACTGACACCTCCGGACTTCATCCTTGCTCTTTTTCTGCCAACTGTCCCTTGAGAACTGACCGGGTACCACGAGAATACAGTCCATCCCTTCCCAGGGCGCTGCCCCCTGGTCAAGCCTCCCACCTAGGCCCTACCTCTTCAAGACTCCATGCCCTGCAGCCTGCAGCGAGTGAACCTCAAGCCACGTCCAGATCTGGCACTGCCGATTCTTTCTACGTGGGCATCTGTGCCCAGGCAGGAGAGGCACCATGCAGATCTGCAGCTGCTAACTCAGCTTTCAGAGCCGGTCTGATCATCTATACCACAGTTAGAACTCCAGGCCTCGGCACCACCAGAAGCTGGGAGCTGCTGCACATGCAGCTGATGCTCTCATGTGGAGGCTGTGGGAAAGCCACCCCTGACAAGTGGCTCAGCCAGATGCCTTTTTTAAATTTATATTTTTAATTTATTAAAATTAATTTTATTAGTACATTTTAGATATGCAATGACCACATAATAACATAATATAATGGGACTAATGGGACATAATAACATCATAGGTATTTGCAAAACATTCCTCTTTTTTTTTTTTTTTTTTCAGTACCAGGGATCAAACTGAGAACCTTGCATTTGCTAGGCAAACACTTATTCCACTGAGCTATGTCCTCAGCCCTCAGCCAGATACACTTTATATAAACAGGTGCACCCATGTCACCACCCCAGACCCAGCAGCAGACACTCCAAAATTCTAGACATCTGCTTGTGTCTCTGCCCAGCTAGTGCCAGACCCTTTGCCTGGCCAGTACACTGTCCTAATGCCACCCTCCAGATCTCTGACACTATAAAATGTTGTTATTGCTCAGCTATGCTTATTATTTTAAACATATTTTATTAAGGTACAATTTGTATGCAGCAAATTTCACCTTTTTATTACTGGGTGCTATGAAATATTTGTTTGTTGGGTATTTTTGTTTTGAGACAGGGTCTTGCTATGTAGTTCAGGCTGGCTTTGAACTCACTGTATAGCCCAGGCTGGCCTCAAACTCCTGCCTTAGCCTCCTGAGTGCTGGGATTACAGGTGTTCACCACCACACCCGGCTACACTGGTAGTGCTGAGGATCATACAGTCATGTAGCCATGACCACACCAAGGCCTAGGGCAGGGCCACTGCTCCAGAGTCACTTCCATATCTTTGATTCTCCGCAACCACCAATTTGTTTCTTACCTCTCTTGTTTTGGTTTTTCCTTAACTTTGCTTTATGTAAGCATTATGAGTGGGATGGTAAAGAAACAAATAAATGGCTAGATGGAAAAGTTCTGGCCCCTGAGAACTTGCGCACGGTGTCGGGCACCGCCACTTGTGTCCTGGTCCATGGACACATAGCCCTCTTGTGTCCGTGACCTCTGGGCCAGCGCAGAGCCCAGTGGCCCTCTTCCCTAGGCCCTTTGCATCCCCAGAGCCACTAATTCTTGGCTGTGACGTTGGGAATGCCACCCTCGTTCTCTCACTCTGAGGCTGAGGTGAAGGTCACTGCCTACACTTAGAAAGGAGGACACAGAATCCAGGGACTTGATACCTTCCTAACGTCCTGAGGGAATAAGAAAGCAATGGGCTGGATTGTCACACTTCACACAAGGAGAACCAGAGCCTGGGTCTGGTAGGGAGGGGCTCGAGCCTAGAGTTGGTGGAGAGACTCGTGCCAGGCCTGGGGCTCAGCTGAGCTATCAGAAGAGACCCAGATGCGGCCCTACAAGGTGAGCTGGAGGTCACAGAGGGGCTGGCTCAGGAAGACAGAGATAGGCAGATCCTAACAGGCAGGATCTCAGATACATTCAAGAAAATCCAGGCTCCTGTGTTGCTATTCTCTGCCTGGGGAACCTCAGGCTGGCCTGGGGTGCACCTTTCTGAGCATCCAGGGTCCTGTCTTTGCTGGCCCCTGCTGTGGTGTGTTTGTGCCTTCCCCTCTCAGGCCCAGGCCAGCCTTGGGGTCTCTGTCAAGAGCAACACATCCCAGGCCGCCCTGGCTCATGGCTGCTCACTAGGCCTTGGGCCTGGCCCTGGCCCTCTCGCTCTCTACGCACACTGGATATGGTCCTTTGGGCCACTTGGACCTACCTACCTGACTCCTCCCTCCACCTCCAACCCTCTCCACAGATATCAGAATGCAGGAGGCTGGAGAATGAGGTCCCATGGGGATGAGACCTGCCCAGGTCATCTTGATTTACTGGAGCGTACCACCCACCTCCTGTGGGTAGGGCCCGACACCTGATTCCTTCTGCTCTGCCCCTGCCCCACAGTCTTACACAGCCAGAAAGGTTATGCGCACCTCCTGCCTTGCTCTAGGCTCTGGCTGTGACACAACCTGGCCCCTGGCTTGCAGTTTAAATTGTGACTTTAACAGTGACTGGCTTGCCGGGCGGGGTGGTGCACACCTGTCATTCCAGCTGCACAGGCAGCCAGGCAGTACAGTGAGAGCCTGTCTCAAACTAAACAAAACCTATTGATTCAGCCACAGCTCTTGGGGAGCTCAGAAGGCGGAGGTGTGACTGTATATTCTCTGGGTTACTCGAGTTCTGTTCCTCCCTGGGTTTGGCCTACGGAGCTTTGGCCTGAGGCCCTAGATCTGGTGCACAGCCACCAGCCACATGTGCTAGCAACATGGCTGGGCCTCCTCGCAGCTCTTCCTCTGGGAAACCTTCCTTCTGCTGCCCCTTCCAAGGGCTCTTGTCCTGAACACTTGGAGTTATGGTGGGAGTGTCTTCCTACTTCTAGGACAAACTACATGATGCCCACAGTTTAGAGGAAGAGAGGTTTAATTGGGCTCATCGCTCAGAGCATTCTGTCCTTGGCCAGTTGGTTCCAAGGTGGGAAAAAGGCAGCAGAAGCACTGGCAGGGCAAAGCTGCTGTGCTCATGGCGGCCAGGGACCAGATTTAGTGCCCAAGTCCCATCTCTGTGACGTCTCCCATAAGTGTCTCAAAGCCAGTCAGATTGACCTGTGCTGTGTCACAGAGCTGCCACCCATCCCCCACCCGAGAAATCTGTACTGTACCTGGTTTTCCTGCCCATGCCCTGAAAGGGCCCCCCCCCGCCCCCCCCACAGCAGAGCCCCCTGCCAGGGATCTCTCACCCCATGGCCTCCTCCCGCTTCTTCTCAGCAGGGATGCTGTCTTCCTTCTTGTTTCCTCCCTGCACAGCCGCCCAGGCATGGGTGGGTGTCCCAGGATTCAGGAAGCCAGAGTCCGAGGCAGGGTCTGCAGTGGAACTGTAGGGTCTCCACATTGCAGAAACACCATAAGGCCGTGAGACACTGGGAGATGCTGGGAGGGGTGGTGTGGACGTCCTGAGCACCCTCTGCCCCCCCCCCCCGTCTTCTGAGAAGGGGTACGTGGTGTTCACCCCCTGCCAGGCCCTTCTAAATGCATTGTGTATGCTAATCTCACTTCCTTGTCACTAGAGTCCCATGAGGTGCATTATTCTGATCCCATTTTTCTGATGGGGAAAGCAAGGTGCAGAGAGGTCACGTGTGACTTGCTCAAGGCCCCAGGAGGTGATAGAGGTGAATGTGAACCAGGGAGGAGGGGCTGCAGGTTAGGACCTTGTGCTGTGGTGCTGTCTTCCTGAAAATGAAGCAGGTGGGAGAGATCGCACGCGCAGTTGCCCTCCCTCCCTTGTCCCCAGAGTCTGTCCCTGCCTGCCCTGCCTGTCTGCTGTCCCCATGCCCACATCTCTGGACTCTCTAGTTTCCAGTAGCCTCCTTGCTCCTGCTGAAGTCATTTGTCATCCTTGGTAGAGAGGAGCCATGGCTGAGCTCAGGACCAGGAGGCCCGATGAATCTGTTCTTGTCTCCCTGATGTCCCCAGGCCCCCAGCCCCCAGCTCATATCTGCCATCAGCCTGATGTTGAGCCTGCAGAAGTCAATTTGGGGGCTGGGATTTGGGGGCTACCCCCCTAAAATGAGAGGGATCCTGTTAAATTTGCATTTTGGATAAATCAGTGCTTTCACACTATAACCGTGTCCCAGGGGACAGGGAGGCGGGGGAGACGAGAGCTGCTGGGGATTGAGCGTTCGCACTAACGGCAGAGCTTGAACCGCAAGTGAGCGAGAGACACTGGCCTGGCAAGGTTTCCACTGGCCGTCCGTGGACATGGAGACCAACAAGAGAGAATTGGAACAGCTTGTGTCATTGCACAGAGACCTGCAGTAAAGTGAGGGACATCCGTTAGGCCACTCAGGATCTGGAGACTTGAGCAAAGGGAACCAAAGGAAGATTAGGAACGAGGGAGCTGAAAAATTTCTCTCTGTTTGACCAAGGTTCAGTGTTTCAGTGAGTACAGGCCAGGGCCCAGGGCAAAACGGTTATGGGCAGCCTTGGTCCAAAGTCTTTAAGACTTTCAAGATGGCGGCAGCATAGCATCCAACCAAGTCAATGGCCCTTCCATGTGTGGCAAGCTAGTTGACCACACAGGTCACACACACAAGGACACTAACCCTGGTGCAGATCTAAGGGACACAGTGAGTGAGTGGCTCCCACCCTTCTTGGGGGGAAGCCCCTGGGTGAGCTTCCTGCCTGCACTTGGTGTTGAGAGGATGTCTACCCTTGGGCCACCGTCTTGCCTCTGCAGGAAGAAGTGTGGCTCCCCAGGTTGGCCAGGGCAGTGGGAGGGTGGGGACACCTACTTGGGGGTTTCTGTGTTTCTATGGCAACCTCCTGCAGCTGGATTTCTGGGAGCTCTGATGTCTTCCTATTGGTTATAGGTTTGCATTCTATAACTGGCAGGGAACCCACAGTGGATATGGGGCAGGGCAAGTCTCAGGGTGGAGCAAGAAGGCGGTGGAAGATGCCAGGGGGAGTCGGAGGGAAAGTGGAGTTCAGAGTGTCAAGTTGCAGCTTGGCCCAGAGCCCTGCTGCCTCCAGAATTCCTGGAAAGTCCAGCAGTGTCCGCTGCCACGCATTCCTGGCTTCTGGGTCTCTGAGCCTCATGGGACAGGAGGCGTGGTGACCAGACCAGTTGACACAGTCACTGTCCTGGGAGATGCAAAGGAGAGAAAGCCTCAACCTCGGGACTGGACTGAAGACAGCAGAGACACTGACGGAACAGGGACAGAGAGCAGGAGGTGAAGCAGGGCACACTTGGGAACTAGATGGGCCGAACCCTGCCCACACACTTGAAAGTGCCGCTTACTTAGTGTTGTTAATAATCCATCACCATCTCTCTCCTCGGATGAAGCTCCGCGCCTCTCAGTCCTGTCGGGCCCGCCTGGCCACCCCCATCCCTGCAACCCCTGGTTTATTCACACTGCATAGATGTCCATTTTTAAAAAAATGTTCATTTAAAAGCATCTCGGTAAAACCCACTGCTGAAAATGGGAGATACTGGTAAAAATGACATCATGCTAAGTAACTGCTTCCAAAAAACTGGTCAAAGTAGTGATTTAAAATCACCATGAAATCCTGGCTTTTTTCTCTTTTCCACAACTGGGCAATGGACTAAAAATAAAAGCCCAGGCTGGGAGTGTAGCCCAGCAGCAGGACATTTGGCTGGCGCCTCCTCGGCATGGGCAGAATAAATAAATAATAAATACAGTAATCCCCATACACAGCTTGGGTCCATTTTATGACTAGGGTTCAGCTTTATTTGATTTCACTTGTTTACAAAAAAAGTTCTCCTGGGTGGAGATGAGGTTTGCTTTGTTTTACCTAACTGAATCAACAGAGGCAAGTGAGCCGGTGTCCCCAGAAAGGCCCAGAACTGGCTCTGCTCACTCCAGGCTGGAGTCCTGGAGCAGCCAAGAAGGTGGACGGGTGGCATGACCAGAGACCACAGCCGCACCAGGGCTGCTTCCTTAGACCATTACTTTCTTCTGAATTCCTTGTGTATAGTATGAGCTACCAATTCCTTTAACTGCAGCCTAGTCACAGGAATGGAACTCAGTTATCAAACAAGGACTATAAGCATGTAGCTCAACCTGGCCTTGAGCTCACCATGTCCTCCTGCCTCAGCCTCCTTGGGGGCTGGGATTGCAGGCTTGTCCCACCATGCCTGGCTCTGGAGGAGTTTGCAGGTCTCAAAATCTTTCCTATCAGTTCCATCTGCAGGGCAGGTCACACCATGGGCTTTGAGAAGACACCGATGCTGAGACCTGCTTACTGCTGGCCCCATCCATGGGCAGAGCAGTTGAGGTCCCACAAGTGGTGTGCAAAGCCACAGGTGCTTGGGAGCCCTTCACCTGCCAGCCGCACATGCAAGGATTCCCAGCAGAGGCAGGGCTGGGAGAAGAGGACCTCTGGCCATAGGTGGTCGTGGTCTTATGTGACTGTTGCTGCCTGGGAGGGCGGGAAGGGTGCCCTGGCCTCCAGCGGGTAAGGACCAGGATGCTGCCAGTCCCTGCAGGGCACCAGACGCCTGCACTGTGGGCTGTCCAACGACCAGCGGTGCAGAGGCGAAGAAGCTGTGCACAACGGCAACGGGGAAGGAGCGGGCGGAGCATCCCCGACCTGTGCGTGCACGGGTGCGTGCACACATGCGTGTGTGTGTGTGTACATGTGTGTGCATGTGTATGTGTTTCTGAGTGACAGGTCCTACAGGAGAGACCTGAGGGGCCTCCGAGGGCTCCAGGCCCCTGCCTAGACTGCCCTCGAACTTGCTGCAATCTCACTCGGCACTGGGATAACATGCGTGTGCCACCACACCAGGGCCAGATCCTGGATTCTGGATTCTGCATTTGGGATTCTGTCTCCCACCCCTACCCTCATCCCATCTAGAGTGGAATCCAGGGCCTGGCACCTGAGCCGCACCGCCCGCCTCCCTTGCCAGATTCCAACAGGCATGGCCCTGTCCCTTGCAGGCCTACATCCTGTTGGGACAGTTCCTCCTGATGCACAAGAATGAGGAGGAATTCCGGAAGTGGCTCATCTGCTGCTTCGGGGCCACCGAGTGTGAGGCGCAGAGGAGCGCCACCTGTCTGAAGGAGTGGTGCACCTGCTTCCTGTAGACACGCCCACCGCTCCCTGGCGAACACAGCCGTCTCCTCCCGCATCTGGCTCTGAGTCTTTATTTGTGCTTCTGCCTCTAAAGACATAAGTACATCCTAAAGAGCAGGTAAAGAACAGGAAAAAGGTTGGGCGTGGCAGCAGACACTCATAATCCCAGGACTTGGGAGGCTGAGGCAGGAAAATCACTGAGAATTCGAGGCCAGCATGGATATGAGTTCAAGACCAGCCTGAACATGCATTCAGACGCTGTCTCGGGGTGAGGGTGTGGGGAGAAGTCTATAAAAAAAGGCAAACAGGAAAAATCACTCCCAAATTTCACCACCCAGACAGATACCGCTATTACTCACTTCATATAAATATCATGTCAGCAAGCTCTCTGGTGCCTGCCTGACAGGTATGAGGCCCTGAATTCGATTCCCAGTACCCAAAAAGAAGACAGTAAGATAAATAAATAAATGTAAAGCTCTCTGCAAACCTTTGTATAGCAGAATGTGTAACTTTACTTTTAAACAGGAAATCAGTTTTAAGTCAGTGAGTCATCAAGCTATTGCTGTGTAACAAGTCACCATAATGGCAGGCATGGTGGCACATGCCTATAATCCCAGCAGGATTATAGGAGGCTAAGGCAGGAGGATCATTGTGAGTTTGAGGCCAGCCTGGGCTACAGAGTGAGCTCAAGGCCACCCTGAACTGCATGGTGAGACCCTGTGTCAAAAAGACAAAAATGGGCCGGTGGGATAGCTCAGCGGACTAAAGCACGTGCTTAGACAAGCTTAGGCAAGCGCAGGGAGCACAGTTCCAACCCCAGCACCACATGCCATGCCAACCCGGCCCCCAGGGTGGGCTGAGCTGGCCACATTCCGGCCGTAGTGATGCGTGCCTGTAATCCCAGCGCTGGAGAGGCCAAAAGCAGGAGGATCACCCAAGTCCGAGCTGCATAATGAGACCCTGCAACAACCAAATACATTAAAAATAAAATCCCACAAGGCAGGGTGCCTTAAAGCTATGTGTCATTAACAACAGAGGGTCCCCAGTCTAAAACTCAAGAACCCCAAGTGTTCCAAATTAGATTTTTTTTTTTTTTTTTTTTTTTGCTGAACTGGGAATTGAACTCAGGCCCTTGCACTTGCCAAGGAAGCAGGAAGCGTTTATTCCACTGAGCTATCTCCCCGCCCCCCCCCAAATTAGAATTTTGAATTCTGGAAAATTTCAGATTATGGATTTTTACATTAGGGATTTTGCATTAGGGATGCAAATACTGTTAAAATCTGAAGCATTCCTGGGTACCCAAATCCAAGCATTCTGGGTAAGGAATATTCAACCTGTGTTTCAGGGATTTTTTTCTTTCTTTTTCTTGGGGGGGGGGTTGTTTTTTGAGGCACGCTCTCACTGTGTAGTTCAGGCTGGCTTTGAACTCACTATATTCCCCAGATGGTCTAGAATTTGCAGCAATCCTGCCTCAGCCTCCCGCGTGGTGGGATTGCAGCTGTGCACCACCACGCTCATCTTCTGTGCCTTAGCTTCCAAAGGGCAGGAATTTGTATTGTTTGGCTGGTTATTCTGTCTCAGCGTCTCTCATGAGATTGCAGACTGGGGGTAGCAGGGACTAGGGGTCCACTTCCAACGTGGCTCCCTCACATGGCTGCTGGCTTGGTACCTCAGTTCCTGGCTGTGGATCTCACTGCATCTGGCTTCCCCTGAGGCCAATGGGGGTGGGGAGACAGAGCACAGGAAGCCCCAGTGTGTATCACCTACTCTCTGACTTCTGCCCTATACTTCTACGCTAGAAGCAGGTCTCAGACTCGCAATGATCCTCCTTCCGCCTCAGCCTCCCGAGTGCTGGGATTGCAGGCATGCACCACCATACCCAGCTGTTGTTTATTTTGAGATGTGGTCTCATTATGCAGTTCATGCCAGCCTGGAAGTCACTTGTTAGCCCAGGCTGGCTTCAAACGTGTAATGATCATTCTACCTCAAGATCCAACTCCAGTAATTCCAGCACTCAAGAGGAGGAGGCAGGAGGATTGTTGCTCGTTCAAGACCAGCCTGGGCTACAAAGTGAATTCATGGATGGCCTGAATAGCCTGGAGAGATCCTGTCTCGATACTGATGTTAAACTCACACCCGATGTTTTAGGGTAGTAATATCCTTAAGCTTCTCTCCTGAAGGGTTAACAACTTAAGTTTGCAGACCAAAAAGTTAGAGAAAAAGAAGGGCTACAAGAATAGCTAACATTTTGGCCCTGACCCTTCAAGGTCAGTGAGGACTCAGGACATAAGAGAACCTGTATTGTAGCATC